GAGTCTCAATATAGGTTCATGTATGATTTTTATGTTTAAGTGGCAGGTGAGTAGATTAATAATTTTATTCCTTTTGTGTCTTCACATTGGAATTCTGCCTGTGTTGATCCTCAGGCTCAAGATCTCACTGGGCTACGTCTAGATTGGCATGATTTTCCGCAAATGCTTTTAACGGAAAAGTTTCTGTTAAAAGCATTTGCGGAAAAGAGCATCTAAATTGGCACGGACACTTTTCCGCAAAAGCAGAAAATTCAAGTGGCTAGTGTAGACAGCTGGCAAGTCTAAACTTGTCAGTCTAGACGCAGCCACTGGTGTGTTTGTCTGAGGAGTGAAAATTAGGAAAAGATTTTGATTGAGACTGAACGTAGTTTTCACACGGGCTTGACTTCCATTTCCACTAAAAATCAAAACAGCCACTCACTTTCAGATGGCAGGAGAGATTCTCTTATATATGGAATTAGGAGATTTACCTGACATTGCTTGGGTCCATAATACAATTAAGTTTTTTTTTTTAATTAAGGGAAAATGTACATGCTTTATTTAAATGATTGCATTTTTTCAAAACCACAGTGTTATTTTAGGAAGTTAATTGTTATTTCTGATTTCTTTAAAAAAATTGGTAAAATTTTTCCATTTAGTTTTAGTAATTTTTTAAAATGGGAATTCCATCAAGTGATTGTTTCCTTCAGTCCTATAAACTCTTATCATTCACTATGTTTGAACAACAACAACAAAATGACTAGAGCCAATTTGGTTTCCAATAACATTTTTTTCTAGTTTTCAAATTGTGAGCTTTGCTTCAGCTGTCCCCAAACAGCAGAGCGCTACTCCAAATTTCTGTTTTTTCTCTTTTTTCTGTAAGGTCCATTGAGAAGCAATCCCATTCCAGACACATCCCATTATCTTGGCAGAAGCAAACCCTCATATTGTTTTAAGCTGTGATTGGAGTAAGCTGCTTACCGCATTTGGTGGTATTAGTTCTTTCCGGTTCGGAGGAGTTCTTGATCAAAAGAGACAAACGGACAAACGCTCTACAATACATAGTACATTCAGAATTCCCAAACACTGCGTCCATAGTCCCATTGAATGAGTTTTTTCAAAGTAATTTAAGTGATTTAGGCACAAAAATCCCATAAACTCCCATCAGCATTGTAGAGGATGTTTTCTGGACAAAGTCCTTTATTATAATTCGTATTATTGTTCCTCCGTATTATATAAGGAGGATTTAAAAAAAAATTGTTAACAACATATGAAAACTTTCAGCTTAAAAAGGAGAAAGCTATTGTCAAAAAGGTATCCCCGTGAGTTGCATTTAAATCCCGGCTGAATCGACCGGGTAGGTTTGGGCATTCTGGTTTTTTGTGAAACCTGCTGCCCAATTCCTGAATTTTAGATCCTCAACTTCATTCATCTGCCTTTCATTTTCCTTCACATTCTTACATTTCTGAAGAATGCTATCTGCCGGAACTCACTGACCATGATGCCTTGCACTCTTCAGCTGTTCTTGAGCTCTTTGTCCGTCCCTCCACATCCTCTAGTCACTGCTGGGATTGTCCTTGTTCTGGTTTTCTACAACTGCTCCCCTCCAAGACGGAGTTATTCACATTCTCTGTCTTCTCTCCAAGGCTACGTCTACACTGCAATTCTATTTTGAGATACTAGAGTATCCCGAAATAGCTATCCCGTGGCTTAACAGCAAGGACATTATTTCAGGCTCGATATTCAACGTCCCTGTAAATCTCGTCCTATGAGAAGTAACCACCCTGACTGGTAGGAAGTTTTTCCTAATGTCCAATCTAAACCTCCCTTGCTGCAGTTTAAGCTCCTTGCTTCTTGTCCTGTCCTCAGAGGTGAAGGAGAACAATTTCCCCCCCCCCTCGTTCTCTCTGTAACACCCTTTTAGACACCTGAAAACTGCTCTCATGTCCCCTCTCCATCTTCTCTTTTCCAAACTAAACAATCCCAATTCCTGCAGTCTTCCCTCATAGCCCATGGTTTATAGACCTTTAATAGTTTTGCTCTTCTCTGGACTTTGTTGCTCTTCTCTGGACTTGTGTTGCTCTTCTCTGGACTTTTTGTCCTTAAAGTAGGTCTTACATGTCTATAATATTCTTTCTTCAGTTTTTCTCTTGGTTTCTTTTCTTGTAATCCTGACTGTCTCTCGATGCCAAGGCATTAGTAGCGTTTATGCTGAGCTTTTATAGATAATTACTTCATTACTGTGTATTCCATAGGATGGTTTCACTTTGGCTCTCTTTAGAGATGCTGATACATCGACAGCTAAACTAGTTGGTCACTTTATTTCTCCACCAAAATTTTCCACACATTATCCATCTTCATAGCCCCTTCTCATGACTGCTCCAATTTTTCATTCCTCTCAGTATGGGTATGTCTAGACTACAGGGTTTTGACGACAGAAGTTTTGTCGACTGATACTGTCGACAAAGCTTCTGTTGACAAAGAGCGTATAGACTACAGCCAGTTCTGTCAACAAAGCAAGCCGCTTTGTAGACATCACAGTGTGGACGCAAAGGACAGTGTAGATGCAATAATGCCTTCTATCGACAGAACTCTGTCGACAAAAGGCGTTATCCTCGTAGAATGAGCTTTACATAAGTCGACAAAACTGCTGAGTTTTGTCAACATTATGTCGACATAACTCAAAGGCAGTGTGGATGCAGGTATAGTTTTGTCGACAAAAGTCCACTTTTGTCGACAAAACCCTGTAGTCTAGACACACCCTATCTGACCAATTTATTTCATTGATTATTTGGTTGCTTCCCTTGTGGTGGTGTTTGCACTATGTTTTCCACTTGTTTTTAATCTGGTTCATTGTGTGATTATGTTCCACACTCTCAGACCAGATTTGCTTCCAGTAGGAGGATGCTTCCACATCATTTATTTGCCCTCTATTTCTGTATCTAACTTCCATCAGAGCAAAGAATGTCCTAGAGCAACAGTTCTCAAACAGATTGTGACCTGGCTTGACCAAGCTCTGGCTGGGATGATTGAGTTGGGGTTGGTCCTGCTTTGGACTTCCAACCCTAGGATCTGTGATTCTCTGATTCCAGACTACTGCTGTAGGCAGCACAGCATGGGGAATGGGTGGAGAAAGAACAGGTTAAGGACTATTTAGAAAAGCTGGAGGTACGCAAGTGCATGGAGCAGATCTATTGCATCTGAAGCTTGTTGAGGGAGTTGGCTGATGTGATTGCAGAGCCGCTGGCCTTTATCTTTGAAAACTCGTGGTGATCGGGGGAGGCCATGGACAACTGGGGAAAGGGCTAATGTAGGGCCCTTCTTTAAAAAAGGGAAGAAAGAGAATCCTGAGAACGACAGGCCTGTGAGCCTCACCTCACTTTCCCCAGAAAAAAAAAATCATTGAGCAAGTACTCAAGGAATCCATTTTGAAGCACTTGAAAGAGAAGAAGTTGGTCAACATGGATTCTCTAAGGGCATGACCAGGCTCTTTGCCTTCCACGATGAGCTAACTGGACATGATATACCTTGACCTTAGCAAAGCCCTGGCTGGGTTGGTTGAGTTGGGGTTGCTCCTGCTTTGGACAGGAGACTGGACTCGATGATTCCTGAGGTCTCTCCTGACCCTAAGATGCTATGATTCTATGATTAAATAGATGTAGGGCTATAGAGAAACAGTAAGAACAAGAATGACTTTATAGGCCGGCATTGGTGCTTGGTCCTGCCGTGAGGGCAGGGGACGGGACTTGATGACCTTCGAGGTCCCTTCCAGTTCTAGTGTTCTATGAGTCTATGGTTCTACAATTGAAGGCAATCTCCCGCTGGTGCATCATGTCAAATTTACAGTCCCTCTGTTCCAATTTTTAATATTTAGCCACAGTGGAACAGCTTCCAAAGGAGATACTGGAAAAGTCTGTCATCGGGGTCACAGCTGAACAGGGTTGTTCTGAATGTGCAATCGGGCTTAGATTCTGGGATGTAAGCGCCTACAGTGGTAGGCAGCTGCCGAAGTCCTTTTGTGTAGCTAGCTCCTTTTGTCTAAAATACACACGTTGTGTTGGAGGCACTCGGCCTTGCTTTATATCCATCCTACTGATCGGATGAGTTCCACAGACCACTTCAGTGTGCTTACTCATGTTAATTGCATTATTTTTTTTCTCCTCAGACAGGTCAGCACCAATGGAGAACAGAACCAAAGTGACTCAGTTTATTCTCCTGGGACTTTCCAATGACCCACAGCTGCAGATGCTCCTCTTTTTGGTGTTTTTAATTGTTTACCTCGTCACACTTTTAGCCAATGGGGTGATCATGCTGGTGGTAAGGGCTGATTCTCACCTTTACACCCCCATGTACTTCTTCCTCTTCCACTTAGCCTTCGTCGATATCTGCTATTCCTCAGCTGTTGTTCCAAAGATGTTGGTGAATTTCTTATCGGGGCACAAAACCATTACTGCCAATGGCTGCCTTGCCCAGATGTTCTTCATATTCCTCCCGGCTGTTACTGAAGTTTTTATTCTCTCGGCCATGGCATATGACCGCTACGCAGCCATCTGTGTCCCCTTGCGCTACGTAGAAACCATGAGCAAAAGGACCTGTGTTCTGCTAGTGAGTGGCTCATGGGCCATAGGGTTCACAGATGCTCTGCTGAACACGGCTTTGTCCCTCCAGCTGCATTTCTGTGGGCCCCATCACATCCACCATTTCAGCTGCGAGCTCCCGCCTCTGCTCCATCTGTCCTGCACGGAGACCACCACCAATGAAGTGGTGCTTTTCACTTCTGTTGTCATCCTTGGATCAAGCTCCTTCCTCTTCACCCTCATCTCCTATATTTACATCATCTCCACAATCCTGAGGATGCGGTCTGCCGAGGGCAGGCGGAAAGCCTTCTCCACCTGCAGCTCCCATCTCATGGTGGTTGGTTTGTTGTACCTGACGGCTTTCTTCCAGTACACCAAACCCAGATCCATCTCCTCTGTGGCTCTGGATGAAATGGTCTCCATCCAGTACAGCATCTTGACCCCCATGTTAAATCCCATCATCTACAGCCTGAAAAACAAGAAAGTGAAAACAGCCATAGGGAAAATGTTGGGGAAATTCATGTTTCTCAAGTACTGCTGATCTTAGTTTTAAAAAAAATGTGGGTAACTAATGTTTGGAGAGTCCCATTAGGTATCTCCACCCTTGTCTAGAAGGCTATGTCTAGACTGCAAGCCTCTTTCGAAAGAGTCTTTTTCGAAAGATACTTTCAAAAAAGCCTCTTTCGAAAAAGAGCATCTAGACTGCAAGCAGTACTTTCGAAACAGCAAGCCGCTTTTTTGAAAGAGAGCACCCAGGCAGTCTGGATGCTGTCTTTCGAAAAAGCCCTGTTTGCATTCAAGAATGCCTTTTTTCGAAAGAGCACTTTTGAAAAAAGGCGTTCTTCCTCGTGAAATGAGGAGTACCGCCGTCGAAAGAAAAGCCACGTTCTTTCGATTTAATTTCAAAAGAACGCGGCTGTAGTCTAGACGCTGGTGAAGTTTTTTTAAATAAGGCTGCTTTTTTCGAAAAAACCCTGCAGTCTAGACACAGCCCAAGGGAGTTACTTCGAAATAACCGCCTTTTTTAAAATAAGTGGAACGTCCACACTCTCAAGCCCTTTATTTCAAAATAACGGGCTGGTTATTCCGAAATCTGCGCTCTTGCTGTCCTTGGAAAAAAGCTTAGCCCTAAACATAGAATTCAGAGTTTATTCCCCAAGGACAGCAGGCCCTAAACATTTTCCATGGTGAAAATCAGCCAGCTGGTGGAAAGCAGATTAGCTCCACTGATAAAACAGGGCTACACTGGTATATGCCAGCTGAGGATATTGGTTCTCTAATAAAGTTACGCCTCTGAATCCACCTGTTATCAAAATGGGACCGATAGATCTGTGGTCTGGTGTCAATGAAGAATCAATCCATGACCTGGAATTTTCAAAGAGTTAAGATCAGCACTGGGCAACCCAGGTTAGTAAATGGGCCAAAGGAGTGGCCGTCCTTCATCTCCGTGGGTCTCAACAATGTCATACCCAAAACGATATTCCGGGACAGGGTAGTTTTGTTGATTGTGCTTGTGTACCTAGAATTTTAGGGCACGTTGATTGAATTGTAGTAGCGCTGTGATTGGCTGCAGAGGGAGCGCGTGGCTCTCGATGGCAAAGATCTGGGCAATGCATATGCACCTCACTTCACGTGCCCTGGCTGAAAGTGCATGTCACTTGCGTAATGCTGGTCTTTTTTCTATATGAAGGATAAAATGTAGTCTCATTAACATGCCCAAAGATGGCCAGAAAGTCAGAGGAATCCTAGAATCCCAGGGCTGGCAGGGACCTCAGGAGTCATCGAGTCCAACCTCCTGCCCAAAGCAGAACCAACCCCAACTCAATCATCCCAGCCAAGGCTTGGTCAAGCCGGGACTTAACCACCTCTAGGGACAGAGATTCCACCCCCTCCCTAGGGAACCCATCCGAGTGGAGAACAAGACATTGATGCCTGATCTCTTCCATCCCTGCCCCTAACTGAATCATTTTATTGTTCCCCTGGAGGTCCCATATCTCTTCCCATGCCGGCCTGCTACTGACCGAATGCAGCCCAGCTAAGGAAGACACCACTCAGTTTCAGAGGGAGACGTTCTTCTTTCACAAGGGATGAATAGAGATGGTTGAGAAATTTGAATATTCTCAAGAAAATCCATCTCCCTCTTCCTCATCAAAATTCAACCCTGGAAACCATTGATTGCCTGGAAAATGCCATGAATTAGCTTCTTCCGTTTCTTGCTTTGGCAGGGCCCCTGCCAATTAAGCATCACCCTGATGGACAGTAATTTTTTAAGCACAGGAATGATGCTTCCTGCTCTGTCAATTCTGAAGATTAAGCAGGAAAAAGCGGCGTCATAACCAGGGTAGAAATTTTCTTTTGGAAAAATCTGACGTTTGAAGAAAAATATTTCCTTTTTTGGAGGGGATGGAATTTCATTTCAATGTGATGTCTCAAAAATACACTACAACAGCTTGGACCTCCCTCGTCCGGCACCCTCAGGATCTGACCAGTCCGGAATGAGGGGATTTGCCAGACCAGGGAGGTCCCTCCCAATATGATCCATGATGAACCACTGCCTCCTGCTACTGCCCAGCCACAAGGCCCAGAAATCCCTGTTGTGCCACCCACCCCTCAGTGCCACCTGCCACTGGGTCCCCAGCTGTGTCTCCCCCACCCACTTTGCTCTTGCCCCATGCCCTGACCTCCCTATACCTGGACTCTATGGTCCAGGAACATCCGTGCTTCTGCCAGACCACGGATGTCCCCAGTCCTGGTTAAGGGAGGTGCAATCAAGCGCAACTACTAAATAATGCAGCTTCCCACCTGCAGCCTGTCTGGGGCTGGTCCTTGGTTCCTGGCCCCAGGTTCTGCTGAGCAAGGGGCTCCTGGATGGGACTGATGGGACCCAGGCAGGGAGATTGGGGGGAGTGAGTATAGGGGGGAACCAGGGCCTGTAGGCAGAGGTGGGAGTCATCCCGTGGGGTGGTGAATGGGTGGGTGCTTCCCCCCAGCTCTGTTTTAAGGCAGGGGGGCCAGGTACCTGCTCCATTGCAGAGCCCCGGCCCCAGCTGGCCCAGTGGTCTATACTGCAGTATAGCTATCCCCTGCGCGTGCTGCCCCCAGTGGTGACTGTGCGTATTACATCACTCCTCCCTTTGCCCCCTCCCTTTCCATGTTTTGGAAACCAGTCCCATTCCTGGCACTTCCTGTTTTCCTGGCACAACCACACCCTGACCTTGCATTTAGTCCAGGTAAGAGGAAGCTTCCTACTGAATTTGGTGACCGGAGGTGTACTATTTAAAGATTCGTTTTTTATGGTTCTTGAGTATGAGGACTATTGACCAAGGGCTAAGTAAAACTCCCCAGCCTACAATGATGAAAGCCATGCATGCTTCCTATAAAATGTAAATGAATGACTGTGATTTGCTTGGGAATCACTGTCTCCTCCCCCCTCAATGGGGAACTGCCCCCCTCAGCCAGAGGGGCTGCTGTAGCATTTGCTGGGGAGACAGCTCTGTCCCACCCCCGCTCATACCTGCCTCCGCCCTCACATGTGGAGGGCCTCCCACCCTCAACATGTAGATGACATTGAAGTGCTTGATGGTTTTATCTCTGAGTAATTGGTTGACAGCAGGAGGGTCTCTATCCGAAGAAGTGAAACATAATGATCAGTCTAGTGTCATTGGCATTTTAGCATCTTCTAAGGCTTCAGTCTGGGCAACAGGATGTCCATGTGGCAACTAAGAGAAGAGTATTCAGTCTGGTAGCAATGGCAACTCTGTTATATGGAGCTGAAACTTATCCACCGAAAACAGCTGGGGAGAGGGGGAAATAGTCAGTTTTCACTGTGAACATAATGGAGGAATGCTTTGGGCAGGGGGCTGGACTCCAGTGGGTGTGTCTAAACTAAATGGCTCCATCGATGGAGCCATGTAGATTAGGCTGATCGGCAGAGGGAAATGGAGCTGCAATTTAAATAATCGTGGCTTCATTTAAATGTAAATGGCTGCCACGCTGAGCTGACAAACAGCGGATCAGCTGTTTGTCGGCTCAGCGCACTAGTCTGGACGCTCCCCTGCTGACATGAAAGCCCTTTATCGACCTCCCTGGTAAACCTCATCCTAGGAGGCATAATGGGGAGGTCGATAAAGGGCTTTCAGGTCAGCGCGGGAGCGTCCAGACTAGCGCGCTGAACCGACAAACAGCTGATTAGCTGTCGACATAACTCAAAGGCAGTGTGGATGCAGGTATAGTTTTGTCGACAAAAGTCCACTTTTGTCGACAAAACCCTGTAGTCTAGACACACCCTATCTGACCAATTTATTTCATTGATTATTTGGTTGCTTCCCTTGTGGTGGTGTTTGCACTATGTTTTCCACTTGTTTTTAATCTGGTTCATTGTGTGATTATGTTCCACACTCTCAGACCAGATTTGCTTCCAGTAGGAGGATGCTTCCACATCATTTATTTGCCCTCTATTTCTGTATCTAACTTCCATCAGAGCAAAGAATGTCCTAGAGCAACAGTTCTCAAACAGATTGTGACCTGGCTTGACCAAGCTCTGGCTGGGATGATTGAGTTGGGGTTGGTCCTGCTTTGGACTTCCAACCCTAGGATCTGTGATTCTCTGATTCCAGACTACTGCTGTAGGCAGCACAGCATGGGGAATGGGTGGAGAAAGAACAGGTTAAGGACTATTTAGAAAAGCTGGAGGTACGCAAGTGCATGGAGCAGATCTATTGCATCTGAAGCTTGTTGAGGGAGTTGGCTGATGTGATTGCAGAGCCGCTGGCCTTTATCTTTGAAAACTCGTGGTGATCGGGGGAGGCCATGGACAACTGGGGAAAGGGCTAATGTAGGGCCCTTCTTTAAAAAAGGGAAGAAAGAGAATCCTGAGAACGACAGGCCTGTGAGCCTCACCTCACTTTCCCCAGAAAAAAAAAATCATTGAGCAAGTACTCAAGGAATCCATTTTGAAGCACTTGAAAGAGAAGAAGTTGGTCAACATGGATTCTCTAAGGGCATGACCAGGCTCTTTGCCTTCCACGATGAGCTAACTGGACATGATATACCTTGACCTTAGCAAAGCCCTGGCTGGGTTGGTTGAGTTGGGGTTGCTCCTGCTTTGGACAGGAGACTGGACTCGATGATTCCTGAGGTCTCTCCTGACCCTAAGATGCTATGATTCTATGATTAAATAGATGTAGGGCTATAGAGAAACAGTAAGAACAAGAATGACTTTATAGGCCGGCATTGGTGCTTGGTCCTGCCGTGAGGGCAGGGGACGGGACTTGATGACCTTCGAGGTCCCTTCCAGTTCTAGTGTTCTATGAGTCTATGGTTCTACAATTGAAGGCAATCTCCCGCTGGTGCATCATGTCAAATTTACAGTCCCTCTGTTCCAATTTTTAATATTTAGCCACAGTGGAACAGCTTCCAAAGGAGATACTGGAAAAGTCTGTCATCGGGGTCACAGCTGAACAGGGTTGTTCTGAATGTGCAATCGGGCTTAGATTCTGGGATGTAAGCGCCTACAGTGGTAGGCAGCTGCCGAAGTCCTTT